CCCTGTTTAGTATTTATCCATCAGCTAGAAAGATGCAATTGCTAGGGCAATTGTATGAAGCACCATCCCAGGCTCACGGTCCCAGGCCAGTGCTTTGAGGCCTGCATTACCACTCCCCTCCCCACCGGTGGACAAACTGGGGACTGGGTTCATGTTGAAACAATTTACTCACAGTCACCCAAATGACTTTTTGTTTGATTGAGTCAGTCTTTAAAGGCAGATTGGGGAATCCAAAGTTCTTGGATTGTTCACCATCCCATCATTCTGCTTCTCGATAGAACTTAACACATGCCAAGTACTGGTCATACTCTGCTCCCTGAAAAGCTACCATCGCTCTAGTGGAAAATTCCATTAAAGAGGGCAGGCAGGGGAGGAGGGAACCAGAGGTCTATCTTCCCTTTTCTATGATTTACTATCCCTGGGCATTCATCTTGTCTGGATTGAACTTCATCCAGTTCATCTTCAGCCAAGTCTCCAATTTAGGCAGCCAATGGATAAGACACAAAAACCACCCGGTCGGAATCAGATGACAAAGAAATACTGCTGGAGATTTTGGCAAACACTGAGACAGGGGTCCAGGGCCTTTGCTTCTGCTGTGAATGGTCTCCTGCAGACACCGAACAGACAGTGTCCCTCTGGCAGGGGACAAGGCAGCCTCCTCACAGCAGCCGGGCAATCACCACAGACCCCCTTTTGGTCCTTCCCAAGAGAAGCATGGATTTACTGAGGCCAAAAACAAAACAAAACAAAACCACATCCACTCCACCACAACAAGCAACGCTGAATAGTTGTTGGCCGCAGTACAAAGGACACAGTACATCCTCAGACTGCCAAACTCGATGGCATTGACAATGGGCCTCAAAAGTGGGGCACCCAACAGAACTGGCTGAAACAGATTGTGTGTATCCACTCTATATGTCACCCACCCCATGCCACCTTCCCTTTATCTCCTGTTCCCACCCGCTGAGCCCTCAGCTGCCAGGCCTGTGTCACTGGGCACACCAGCGGCAGAGAGATCCAGTCGGGAGGCGAGTGCGCAGAGGAGGGCTGGAGCAATGGAAGCACATGCTTAGAGCTCCTAGGTATTCTTTCCCTGTGAGCAGGGACCAGGCAGGAGAGGAATAGAACAGGTGGCCAGGAGAGCCTACAAGATCCTGATGGGAAGGAGATCAAGAAAGAGAGAAGAGGAAGAAGGAGAGCTGAGAAGAAAGGAAAATCCAGGACAAGAGTAGGTGGGGGGAAAAAAAAAAACCTTAAAGTGAAGAAAAAAAAAAAAAAAGCAAAATGGAACCCTAGGCAAATCTTCCAAAATATTTTGATCCAACCAACCTTTTATCTTATTATACTTTCTCATGTCCTTACAGAAACTTTTGAAGATTTATTTATTTCCAATTAAAAGGCAGATGAAAGAGAGATCTTCCATCTGTTGGTTCACTTTCCAAATGGTTGCAGTGGCTGTAGCTGAGCTGATCTGAAACCAGAAAGCAGGATCTTCATCTGGATCCCCTACATGAGTGCAGGGTCCCAATGACATGTACCATCTTCTGCTACTTTCCCAGGTCATAAGCAAGGAGCTAGATCAGGAGTGGACCAGCTGGGACACGAATTGGCATCCATATAAGATAGAGACGTTGCAGGCAAAGGATTAACCCTCAAGCCATGGCACCACACCCAATGCTCTTAGAGAATTTTGACATCTATAATATACATAAAGATAGATTTCACTCCTTAGTGAAATTATTTTGTGTCTTTGTCAGGCAGAGCAATAGAAAGAAAAAAAAAAAAAGAGACAGAGAGAGGTCCCATGTGCTGGGTCACTCCCCAGATGGCTGCAGCTACCAGGGCTGAGCTAAGAGAAGGTCAGGGTCCTGGTTCTCCAGCCGGATCTCCCCCGTGGATGACAGGAGGCCAAAAATTGTGGCCAACTTGTGCTGTCTTCTCCAATAGGTTAGCTGGGAACTGCTGCACTGGAAGCAGAGGAGCTGGGGCTCCAATCAGAGCTGTGATGTGGGATGCTGAGACATAAGTGGCAGCTTTCCTGCCCTAAATCCTGCCGCTCAGGAGGAATTTGAGCAAGTCTGTTTAAGTTAGAGCTGAGTCCCCAGAGCACTGAGAAATCACACTGCCTTGCTTCACAAAACCCCCTCAATGTCTGCCTGACCCGAAGTGTATCTTCACATCTCACCGTCTTGACGGAGGGAGATAAGCTGAAACAGCCCTGCATGATTCCTGCCCTTACTACGACTTCTGCAATCAGCACTGTTGCATAGTAGGTTAAGCTCTGCCTGTAACTCCAGCATCCCCTAAGGGTGGCCCGTTCAAATCTTGGTTGCTCCACTTGCCATCCAGTTCTCTTCTTATGAACTACTAAGGACAGTGGCTCAAGTCAGCCTGCTGCACCCACATGGAGATTCTGAGGACCAAGTCTGAGACTGCAGGTAGGGGATTAGCCTGTTGAGACACTGAACCAATCCTGCGGGGCTATGTTTGAGTAGAGTGATAAAGCCAAGATGGTTCAAAGGGGGCCTCTAAAGCCAATGATGTTTTGCCACCTGATGTAGGTGTACCACTTTATGGATTGTGTGTGTGTGTGTGTGTGTGTGTGTGTGTGTGTGTGTGTGAGAAAATCGCTGAGTTACACATGCATGATCTGTGTTGTGTATTTGCTTCAATAAAAAGTTTGCTAAGAAGAAAAGCCAGGTAACGAGCTCCTTCAGACAGAGGATCGATCAAGAGAAATTGAGGCAGATGAGAGTTGCTGATTATATAAGGAGCTGCATCTCTTCCATCCGTTGCTGAGTATGAATGAAAAGAACTTGCAAATTATCCAAGAAGCCTCCCACGCCATTCCTGCAAGCAATTACTCAGGAGCATATCTCATTTCACTGTTCATCAATCATCGATCCTTAACAGGTAAAGGCATCTGCATGTATGTAGAAATTACAATCTCATTATGGAAGCCGATAGTGCCCTGTCCCGTATTATTGATTCCCAAAAGTGCCAGTGGTGAACAAAAGCACGGCAGATGCCAGAGAACGAGCCGCGCCTCTGATGAACTGACTTTCATACTGATCATGTTATTTATACAGAGCCTACACCGAGGCTTTCAGGGAGCTGTGGAGTAACCCGTCACCCGTGATTTAAGCATCGCAATGTATCTTAAAGCCTTTCTCCCAAAGCAAAACAAAGGGAATAGACGGAGAAGGCTGAGCTAGGAAGGTACAAGAGAGGGAAGAGGTGGAAGACCCAGGGCAGATGTGGTGGCAAATGCTTCGTAAGGGAGTAAGGAGGGAATTTTCTGGGATAGGCAAAGGAGTATGGTTGAACGGAGTTGCCCAGCAGCTGTGGTCGGTGGGGTGGGCAGTTCTCATCCTAGGTGGGCGGGGTGGGGAGACACATAACCCTCCCCCTCCTCACGACAGCTGATGGTCTGATGCCACCACCCAGACCGCAGTGCCAACTTTCCTGTCAGCTCCATCCTAGTTCAGAGTGGAAATTCTTGCAACGACCCAAACAGCAGAAGCCAATGAAATTCTCGTAGGTTATTCCTCATTTCCTGACATTGGCAAAACATCCAGAGACTATTTTTAAAATAGAAAAGACAGATCTTGGTGAAGCTCAGAAGATATAAACGTATTTTTAAAAAGACCATGAAGGTGCCTCCCTCCAGGAAAGTCCGGGGGGAATAACAGTGGCACCAACAAACGTGGTATAATTGTCAGAGCTCCTGTTCTGTGTAGACTCCTTCCCACACTGCACCCAGCAGCCCTGCCAGCCATGACGGCCTTGCTCCTGACCGTGCCTTTTCAGTCTGTTTAGATTAGCTCGCTTTCATTGGGGCTTGCTACCAGTGCATGAATATTATTTAAAAACACGGGAAGTAGAGAGATAAATAGGAAAGCAGAAAAAATGATCACTGTTCTACATCACCCGAAGCCAACTGCTTTTGCAATTTTTTAAAAGATTTCATTCATATGAGTGTGTGCATATGAAACACACACATGCACAGTTATAAGAAAATGTGTCTATGAGCATATAACACAGGGTTGTGGTTATTTCTGCATCATGGAACAATGATTGGCCTTCATCCTTGCAAAATCGAAAGTTATCAATCCAAAAGGTTATTATCCAACAGGTTATTATTTTATTTTCTAACGAGTGCTCACCACACCCCTATTAAATGTTTCTAGCCAATCTTTTTTTCGATCGGAACACGTGGCCTCCCAAAGATGGGAATGGTGGATGTGAATTGATAGGTTTTCCACAGGAAACTGACGATGGATGTCACTCCGCTCTAGAGTATCACTTAAATTCTTACGTAGTTTGGGCGCCTGAGTGAAAAGGAAGACTCATTGTGGGAGACATCAAAGTCATTAACAAAGTTCTCAGTTGATACGCTAGGAGACTGAAAGTGACACGACCAGCCTCTGTGGCAAGCCCAATGCATGTGCGGTTAAAGAGACCATTAAAGGGAATTTCTCTCAGGGGGAGGGAACTCCCTGTTGCTCCATTAATTTCACCAAATCCCTAAGTAAATTAAATAAATCTAACACTGAGTTGCTAGTAGGATCCTATGCTATTTGTAATGAAATAAGTAAGCTTTTTTTGTTTTAAATCCCATCTTGTTTGGGGTTATTTTCGTCAAGACCGGCTGGCTGGATGTGATGACGCGCCTTTGTTTGAGCAAAGCAGAAAGGATGTTCTGGTGGGAGAGAAAGGAGAGCCAGAGTTTCCCGAGACTCTTTGGGCACTGAGTGATTGATGAGTGGGTGAGGAGTCAAGTGAGAGCTAGTGCCCGGGATTGAATGAAAGAGCCTCCTTTCTTCAGAGAATGGAGGGCGACCACATGGAAGGCTGCCATGAGCCCAAGAGAAAAGCAGCTTTCTGGGAAAGAAGCAAGCATTAGGGCAAAGAACGCAAACCGTATTGTACCCACTGAGCAAAATATCTGACATTAGAGGGGACAGAGGGTTTAAAACACACACACACAACCCTAGAGGAAGGTGACTGAAACACGCGGATGCTTCCGTGTCGTTCTTGCGCAGGGCCCACGCTAACCTTCTCTATCGTTCCAATTTTAGTATATGTGCTGCCGAAGCAAGCGCGAAAAATGTGGATGCTATGTGTGTGTTGTGCTTTTGTGGGACAAATTCTCCTTCAATATTTGCCCTTCTCTTGATTGCTGATTATGTAATCATCAATTTTATGGAATTTAATGTTCCAGATTAGAAGCCCTTGACAGATGTTGCAGGCTCGCTGCCTTAAATCTGTGCATGTTTGGCCTCACTTACAGCAGGTGGCATCGGAGACAGTTACAACAGCGAGAGAATGGGCAAGGATACAGGGCTTTGAGGGCCCTGCAAGAGGAGGAGTGGCCGAGTCAATGTGAGGTGACAAGCTGAGAGCCTCTGCTGGGGCTTCCCCCACGTGGTAAGACGCCCTCTGAACACTGTTTGTTCAGCCACAGGTCAGGAGTCTGTTGTGAAACGAGTTGCCGAATGAAAGAGGATGGTGAGTGTCACAGCATGATAGACTAAGGGTTAGATAATGTTTCATGAAGTTTGTTGTTGTAAGCACACCCGGTGTATGACAATAAATCCTGTAAGGTGGAAGTCACTTCTTATATGGGTCTAATTAAGAAAAAAAGAAAGATTCAGAGCTACTATCAAGATTGTATTCTTGAATAATTACCAAATTGCAAACTTAAGAATAGAGAGGCCAAGGCAGGCCTTTGGCCTAGCATGAAAGCACTGACTGAGATGCCCATATCAGAGTACTTGGGTTCAGTCCCCCCACAGTGGTGGCTTCAGTGACTGGGTTCTTGGAACCCACATGCCCAGCCCTGGCTATCGTGGGCATTTGGGCAATGAATCAGCAGATGTAAACACTATCTCTCAAATGAAAAAAAAAAATTCAAAAAGGTGAGTCGTACAACCTTGTAAGCAGAAACACTCCAAAACACATTTCTTTGAAAACATGATAGCGGAACAATGGCATCGACTAGCTGAAGGCATTGTTCTGGAACTCCCAAACCTGAGTCCATTTGTCCAGTCTGTGACATTGCAATGGAGGAAGAAAGCAGGTGTCAAAAGCACCGAGCTCTGAGGAGTTCAGAGGCTATTGCCAAACTCCCAGGCTCCCTAGGCATGAAGCGTGAAGGTTCTCACGGACCGAAGTTGAGACTGGCACATGTTCAACTTGTGTCCAAGTTACTGATTGGTCAGCGGTACTCATGGCCTTCCTTTGCTTGCTGTCGATACAGGGTTCTTTAGGATCCTAATCATGGGCAGGTATGGTTTTTCTGGTTGGAGGTGTCAGGGATGGGTTACTGCAAGTGGTAATTATCTTTTGCCCCACACTTGGAATTCCCTTCCCTGGACTTGAAATACCTCCGCCTCCCCTGCCCCCAGATCCCCCTGGACAATATCGGCCAACACAGTTTTATCTATTGGAAAAGCAAGTGACTTACTGAGTTGGTGCTTAAAACCCTATTGGGCCAGCTGTGTCACTCCTTTGATTCAGTCATTCCTTTGCATAAAGAACAGCCAAGGACACAATGGGACAAGAGAAACAGAAAGAAGGCTGGGTCCAGCCCTTACAGGGCAGGTCTGTGTCATTCACCGAGATCCTAGGCGCCAGGCTGAACATAAAGAAGGATTTTAAGGGTTTATACCAACATACTAGTATTTCTTTTTTTTTAAAGATTTATTTTTATTATTTTTTATTGGAAAGGCGGGTTATAGACAGGAGAGACAGAGAGGAAGATCTTCCGTCCGATGATTCACTCCCCAAGTGAGCGCAACGGCCGATGCTATGCAGGATCCGAAGCCAGGAGCCTCTTCTGGGTCTCCCGCGCGGGTGCAGGTTCCCAAAGCTTTGGGCTGTCCTCGACTGCTTTCCCGGGCCACAGGCAGGGAGCTGGAAGGGAAGCGGGGCTGCCGGGATTAGAACCGGTGCCCATATGGGATCCCGGGCGTGCAAGGCGAGGACCTTAACCACTTGCGCCACCGCGCCGGGCCCCAACATACTAGTATTTCACTGGAAATTCATCTTTCAATCTGTTTCTCACTTTCCTGGCTGTTGGAGTCATGTAGCATGGTTTTTAATAATTAGCAATCAGATTTCTTCAAAAGGAAAAGAAATTCTCTGTGAAATTATCTTGTTTTCTAAGTTGCTGATGAAAGAGCCCTGGTTCTTGGTAAGAGCTGTAGATTACTTGGCAGGATACATGTTTATTCATGAACAGCCTTTGAAATTCAGCGGTGCATGCATTTAATGTAATTTTTATCCAAAATGAATGAAGTTATTCAAAAATGATCATAAACATCTCACATTTAGTCCTTTGGAACAATTTAACTAGTTAAAAGTGATTGTCCTCGATCGCCAGCACCTGAGAGTCATCTTTTGTAAGATAAAAAAAAAAAAATTACTAAGGACAACCCAGGTCAAAACTCTAGCTATTTTGTAGGAATTGACAAGCTAAGCTTTACAAATCTCTGTAGAGGAACCAGCACTGTGTCCCAGCAGGTCAAGCAACCGGGCTGTCATTCCCTCTCAGAGCAGAAGTTTGAATCCTGGGTGCCGTGCTGATCCAGTTTGTTGCGAATACACCTGAGGAGGGTCTAGCACCCATCTGGGAGACACGGATGAACTTCCTGGCTCCTGGCTCCAGCCAGGCGCGGCTCTGGCTGTTGTGAGCACCTGGGAAATGAATTAACAAATGGAAGTTCTCTGTCCATCTCTCTCATTTTTGCTCTCATTCTCTGAGTGTTACTATGCCTTTTGAACAAATAAATGTTAAGATACATAGGGACTGGTGGGATGGCATACAGGATAATCATCCACTTTAAAGCACCAGCATCCTCTAGGGACACCAGTTTGTGTCCTGGCTGCTTCATTTCTGATCCAGCTCCCTGCTGATGGCCTGGGCAATCAGCAAAAAATAGCCCATGTGCTGGATCTCCTGAACCCACATAGGAGACCAGAAGAAGTTCCTGGCTTCTAGCTTTGAAGTAGCTCAGCTCCGGCCATTGTAGGCACTTGGGGAGTAAACAAGCAGATGGAAAAACGTTCCCTCTGCCTTGCCTTCTCTCTGTAAATAAACTTTCCCTAATGAAAATAAATAAATCATTTAAAATGTGAAAGAAAATAAATCTACATGAAACACAGACCTAGTATACCCAGAAGACCTAGTCTACCCAAAGTCTTGAAAAAGAAGAGTAAAGTTGGAGAATTCACACTTTCCCATTGCAAAATGTTACTGCAAGGCTAATCAAGACTACCATAAAAATGATCTAAGGATAAACATATAGATTAATGGAATACAATGAGCGTCCAGAAATAAACCCACGCATCTGTGGGTTTGTGATTTTGGCAGGACTATCAAGAAAATTCAATAGGGGGTGGGGAGAAAGAAATCTTTTCAATAAATGGCACTGGGATAACTGAATATTCATGTGCAGCAGAGTGAAGTTGGACCACATACCACATACAAAAATTCACTCAAAATTGATTATGGACTTCAATGTGAGAGCCAAGAACTATAAATTCTTAGAATAAAACATGGAAATAAATCTTTCAGACTTTGGATCAAGCGATCATTTCTTAAATGGGATGCTTAAATGGGATGCCAAAAGAATAAGGAACAAAATAAAAAAAAAGTTGAATGTTCTCAAAATAAGAAAAAAAAAAACTTACGTTTCAGATGATAGCATCAAAAAATGAAAATACAACTCAAGGAATGGGAGAAAAATATCTTTGAATCATAGGCTTGTGAGGGATTTGTACCCAGAATGCACAAAACAGTAACTTAGCGACTCGGGAAAGGCTTAAACTGGAATGCCAGAGGTCACCCTGTATGAAGCGTAGGCATTAGGCTAACCTGCCTTCCTCCCTCTCCCAGCCCGCTGTGTAACTGATACCTGATGCCAGCGCACTTCTCTACAGCTGGCACTGGCTCTTGCCTTCTTGGTGACTACTGATTATTTGTGTGAAATGAAGTGATAATTTCATTTCCTGCTCCTTGGGCAAAGATGCCCACCGCACCAACTCCATCTCACAGATTCCCACCAATAATTAGCACTCTGTAGGCGGTCAGACCCCGGGGAACTGAACAGCTCAGAGGAAGACACCTCTGTTTCTCCTCTCGCTTCCTTCTGTCTCTGGCGTTCTCTTTAGTAAAAGTTGACATGTCCTACAGAGGGAAGGGCCAAGAGGAAGGATGGGAAATACAGAACATTACAGCTTTCCGGTTGTACTTTCAACGACCGGGTGTGCATTGGGACTCAGCGGAATTCTAAGTTCTAATCATCTCAAAAAGGAGGCTTAGGCATTTGACGTGAATTTAGAGAACCTCGCAAGCCAAACCAGTCAGCGCAAGTGGTGTCGTCTTGATTTACAGCTGCAATAGCAAACCCGACATGCATTTCGGATGATGTGATCATATTCTGTCAAACTCAACGGCCGCAGAGCAAACCCTGACCAGATCATTTACTGACCCTCCCCTCATTCAAACATTGGGGTGGGAATATTTCTTCCCTTTCTTCCTGTCATTCTTACTTTCAAGGAAACAAATAAATAGGCAAAACGTACGGGTTTATTTATGAACTAGCAATTCCATTTCATTGAGCTGTATGATGGGAAACAAGTTACAAGATAAGTCTATGTGAGTGCAAAATGTTTTAAACCCCGTGAACTCTTTTTATCGTCATACATGTTTTCCAAGAACTTTTTGAACGTGCCTCATACGCATGAGTTTAAAAATTTGTTCTGCAAAAACTAAACACAGATACGTTATTGAGAGGCTCGGGGAGAGAGAGAGAGAAAGTGTAACATCCATTCATTCACTCTCCAAATGCCTGCACCGGCCATACTGGTCCTAAGAACTTTATTCAGATCCTCCCAGGTAGATGACAAAAACCAGTTCTTTGAGCCATTGCTTCTCCTGGGGTCTGTGTTCGCAGGACACTGGACTTGGCAGCGGAGACTGCTTTCTACCATGTGAGAGGTGAGCATCCTAGGCAATGTCTCAGTTCCTAGGCCAAATGCCTACTCCTAAGCTTCTCGTCCCATTTTCCACAAACATTTTGAAGTGTCCTTTTGAGTC